TATTGTATAGACCCCCGATTTGGTCCATGAACTACAAAAATTCCTAATTTGATCCTTAAATTATTGTACGGAACCCCAATTGGTCTCTATTATTTACCAATTTACCCTAAGTTGGTCTTTCCATACAAAAAAATAATTGATGTGTCCATTATTTAACAACAAAAAATAGTAACCGAACAATGAAAAACAATAACTTAACAATCACGTGTCAAGTTAATAATAAGACAAGTTAGTTAGTTTTTGTATAGAAGGACCAACTTGGGGTAAATTGGTAAACAATAAGGACCAATTAAATCGAGGGTTCGTACAGTAATTTATGGATCAAATTAGAGATTTTTTTAGTTTAATAACCAAATCGAGAGTCCGTACAATAGTTCAAGAACCAAATTGAAGATTTAAACTTTAATAAAATATCATAAAAAAAGATTAGTGTGTATTCTGCAATAAAAGTTCATGTATCAAAAATGATGTAAACTTTTTTTGGATGTCTTGTTTAGTTTAATAGTCCTAGTTTAGGTGGGTATCTATGTCATCATTTTCTTTATAATTATAAAATTATTTTTATATCAATTTTTATATTTAAATTTTGAAATTAGTGGGTATTCTGTATTTTTTTTAAGTAAAATATGAATTTTATTAGCTATAATACCTAAATCCTTATACAAAGCAGCACTAGCTTTTCAGGTTACTACCAAAATCTAATTACAAGAAAATCAGGAAGTCTAACTTCAAGAATTAATCTCTTCCTCCTATACAAAATATCTCTAAACCCCAATTTGAGGCAATACTTTGTGACATTGGAGAGGCTTTTCATCTTAGCAAACCCCAGCAAACGATCTCGAATATCAACTCAAATGTCACTTAAAAAGGTATCACCAGATCGAACAGTGCCTTAATGAAAACAATTATTCCTTTCCCTCCAAATATGATAGATTACTACACTCCAAGTTAACTTTGGAAGGGAAGAGTATAAGAGATTTACGCTTAATGTTCTTGCAAAGCCAAGATAATATATTGGACCAAGAACAAGTGGCTGGCATGCTTGTCAAATCAGAAATTCTCTTCCAAATATAACTGGTATAAGGATAGGAGAAGAACAAGTACTGATCCCTTGTCTCACTCGCTACTGTACAAAAGATGCATCTGTCATCAATGGAGGCTATCCATTAATTTCTTTGCAGGGCCCTTCTAGTAAGTCTATGCTGAATAGCAAGCCAAGCTATAAAGCAATGCTTGGGAATATCATAAGAAAACCATACAATTTTAAATCATGACACTCTAGGATGCTTTTCCCCAATGTAATTCCAAGTGCACCTAGTTTGGAATTGACCTGAAAGTGAAGGAAACCAGAAAGTAGAATCCATGGAGTCCTGATTGGGATATTCCATCATACAAGAAATTAAATGAAAAATTACTAAAAAAGTAAGTCATTTTAATAAAATATCACGAAAAAAATAAAATAATCTTATTTTTAATTTAAAATATATGATTTTTTAAAATTTTTAATAATATTTTATTAAAATGA